AATCAAAGCAGAAAACTAAGCAGACAAGTTTTTATTGCTTTCTGTATCTCTGGTGGGGAGTGTTTACTGTACTTCCTGTCCCAGGGACCACCTGTCTCCAAAACAGGACGTTTGGGGAAACTTCCCAATGTAGATGCAGACTGACCACTAGATTTGCCCACAGATAGGAGTCGACATTTGGATTCAACTTACAATCAGGCATGTAAAGCTAAAGTATCAGTTACTTTCTGTTCATGAAATGAGCCTTGCAATTTAAATTGGGATAGCTTCCGTTTACATGAAAAACATGAAGTCATATGCAATTTGACATCTGCCCAACCATCTACACAGGTCATTAACGGAATGGGAAACAGTATTCACAAATAAAGTGTGCAGATGACTTCAAGCATTGATAGTGAAAGTGCTCCATGGGTGCAGGTAGAGAAAACGTGTTTACTGCAGAGAGATGAACATAACGTACAGGCAGGGATTGTTGATCTAAAATAAATCAGGAATGCAGCCTGATTGCATTAGTACTCTGCCACACCTTGCAGTTACAAGAGTTCACCGACCTGTATGTGAAGGCCTAGAAAGAAAAAATCCCCCATTTTGCTAAAACACCATGCTATTAACCAAATGTTATAGTAGAAACATGAAAACCCTTTTAGGGCAGCATAGTTGTAATACAAAAGGCAATATAAATCTCCTTTTGTAAAGATTGTCTGTACTTAGATAGGGCTATAGGGTAATTGGTGCATGCCATCAGACTATCTTGTTGGACTCTTAAAATGTCTCGTTGTTGATGATCATGGAGATCCATAAATGTAGCAAGGGGTGATCTGGTCTACGGGAATCTAAATAACCCAAATAGAATATTGTTGTAGTGCCACAAACCTTCACATACGTTTCCACAGGGAAAACTTGCCTGGATTGCTGCACAAGGTATACACATAGTTCTTCATACTTTCTTTTGCAAGAGATTCTGTGTTGGTTTCTTCAGTCAGTTCCTTAGACAGGATATACTTTTACCAACGACTACAAGTGTCTCCCATGGCAGAAATCAGAAAGGTCTTTGAGTTTTCCTTTTGCTTTCCACTTCCTAACATTTTGAGGAGGGTCTTCAATTATTATGCATATAATTAATAGCAGACTCTTTTACAGGCTTATAATTCTCTGCCCATTTTGAGGAGATTCTCCAAATTTTGCTTATGCAAGCAACTAATAGCAGACTTTGTAGAGCTTAAAGCACATTTTAGTAAAATGAAATCCTGTCCAAGTGCAAGGTCTGGCGATACACCATAATGGCTTACCCAGCAAAAATCAAAAGATACAGCCACTAATCTCTATGGTCAGGCCAGGGGCATGGCCAAGACTTCAAAATACCTCATCAGCATGTTTGCTGTGTGAAAGGTGTCTCTATGGGAGGCATCCAGTGGCTACAATGACAGATCGTAAAAAGCAGCTACATCCCTAAAACCATTGTGGGGCACAACAACCAATATCTTAGGACAAAATGTGTTGCACCAGTGGCTGTATAAGGTAGACAAACAAATAACCATGCAGGTCTTACCCATGGAAAAACCATCAAAAATATTTTCAAATAGGCAATGTCTGGATAAACAATGTATGGTCCAATGAATCCCAATTCCAGCTGAACTGTGGTAGACAAAGTCTATGTAAAGCCAAAACGTTTTTTTGTTTTAGATAGAGCTGGAAAGGGTTAGATCGCCTAATCTACCCACACCACTAACTCATCCTATTCTGGTGACCATTGCCAGCAGGACAGAAAGTGATGGGAAATCCAAAATGTTTACTGTTATCGCCAGGAATGGTGAGGGGATCATTTCCAGTGGGGACACCTGTTTGGGTGTCTCAGGCTTTGTACACATAGGCTTCAGTTTGTGTAAGAGCATTGTGCATAACAAAAACTTTTGAAGCATTTTACAAAGCTTTCAGCCAGCTTTGTGAAGCTATGTTGTAGTTATGTATGAATAGAAACTAAACTCTGGAAGCTGTGCCAAAATAAAGGCAGAAACCATCCTTTAGCTCCATTCTTGAGATGTTAGGCACATACAGTATCTTAATAGGTGTACTGATTGTTACTTTACTGCCATTGGCAGGCTTCAGTAAGCTTCAGCACTACTTGAAACCAGCTAGCAGCTTGTTTAAATGATAGTCATCACTCCTATTTAGATCTGTGCTTACCATAATAAAAGTAGAGCTGAAGAGTGCTTTAAAAGCTTTAACAAAGCTGTGCAAGGTTTAGGCAAATG